AGCAATGAAGAAGAACTCAAGCTTTTTCAAGTTCACCAACAATCAGAAACACTTATCAGACGTGCTTTTTCTGACATCAGATAAATCGACAAACAATGGTATTTTTATAGAATGCTTTCTTCTTCGCAATTCTTATCTGAAGAGAATGATGTCCTGTCCTCAGAAAATTACATTCCTTGGGATTTGATCAGATCTCAACAGATGAAAGCTCAGCTCTTTTGTACTTAATGTCTCTGACACAGACAGAAAATCCAAGAGTCAAGATCAGAAGTGAATCTGGTGACTTTATGTGTCGCTCTGAATCTCAGTCTGTCTGTGGCTCTGACAGCAGCTTTACTCTGGCTCTCTCTCTGCTGTGTTCTAACCTCGCTGCTGTGCTGATTACACAGATGCAGACACGGCTGATATTTAGGCCATGCATCTTAACAAGAGCAAGTTGATCTGCTGGGACACAAGTGCCACCAACTATATGGATTGTGCATGTGTGGGCCTATTTGTGTGGGTTATGGATGATGCAAAATTATGGCAGAATAGAAAATATTATACAAAATAGTTCCATAACCTGATCTAGAGTTGGATTAAAAGCTCATAAAGAAGCACCTTGGATACATTATATAACGTATGATATGGCTGGGAAACAAGGAGAAGCAACATGCAGTACTCACCAGATAAAATGTCTTGATTTGCTGAACAAGGAAGTTCAGGTTGTGGACCCTCTGACTGGGATCCCTGCTCACTTTGTTTGCACCCTGAGATGCAGCGGAGGGATTTCTGAATAAAGGAAAAGGGCAATTTTACTTATTTCCACTCAAAAAAATAAATACAATCATTGTCAATGGAATAGAGTGAGTGAAAGCTGCAAGCTGGTGAAAGTCTTGGCTCAGGGATCCCCATGAAAACATGCATTATGTCCCTATTCATTCCTAACTTTAGCCTGTGTGACATCATCTCTTTCAGCAAACAAACTGGGCTGTTTTTGAGCCAAATAGCCTTGCATTAGACTTCCCACCAAAAGGAAGCATTCTGGCCCCGACTCTATGGCTGTTGACTTGTTCAACTAAGGTTGAACTGTCTTACATTGCTGCATGTATGTAATCATTCATGGAACTGTGATTTACATAAGTAGGTCAGAAACTGCGATTGTCTATTTTAAAACTGGGAAAAAATAGACAGAGACAGACCAGGAGCCCTCACAGATAAAGTAGAGACAGAGACACTGCATTAATACTCATGCATGACATTTGTCAGGCTGCCTGTCTCCATCTCTGTACAGTTTGCCCTGTTTCTCTGCCTCCTCCTCCCTCCCATCTGCGTCTGACCGCCACTAAACACCAGCAACAAGGTCCTAATCCCAGAGGGTCTCCCAATCCAGGAGATTATCCCGCCTCTTCCCCTCTCCTCCCCTCCCTCTGTGACAGCATTGTTTTGCATTTAGAGCTGGTTATTGTGACCCTGGAGGGATAAGTGGGATGAATGGATACTGTAGACTTGGGGTGGCCAGACAGCATTATCCACAAGTGCACTGGGTCATCAGTTTTTTAACCTTTTCTTTGCAAGTCATCAATTCCAAGTTGTGTTCTACAGTCAATGTCTGAAGAGTCGCTTTATCCTGATGGGGGGGCGACTTAAGTAAATGTTATCTTACAAAATCTCTGACATGCTGCAAACTGCCAGAGTACCATAAGTTTGTTTGGGAGGGTAATACCCTCAGAACATAAGGCACCCCGATCATAATCTCTTAAGTAGCTTCTTGACAGTTTCTATGATGGCCATTGTGTCTTTGGAAAATTAGTTCACTGTTTTCTTTAAAGGGTTTTCTCACTATACAGCACTAGTGACAGAATATCTGTAACTTTATTTTTGTTCTGACATATTTGAAAAAAATCCTGGCATTTAAGTTCTAAGAATGTTGTATTTAAAGACTACTGCAGACTACAAAGATCCTCTTCATTACTGCTAAGTAACAAAGACAGCACTGTTGGTGCCTGGATAAGAATGTTAGCAGATGCTTGATACTGTATCAGTATCTGCTAAACATGTCATGAGAGAAGAAGAGAAGTTATTAAGGAAAAATGCAGGTTCATTCTGCTCATCCAAGCATTTCAGGTCCCTTTAATCATAGTTAATCATACCGTATTGGGATTCCCTGTGTCAAATCAAGAGCTTTTAAACAATGACAACTAATCTGACAAACTGGGCACAGCTGACAAGCTAGATTTAAAATCTGACAAATAAAACTCCAAACAAAAGCTGGCATGAAGTGACTTACATTTCAGTCATGATGTCAATTAAAAAGACTCCATCCAGTAATTCAGAGAAGTCCAAGTGCATGCCACCATCATTTGGCATGAATGTCTTCACCTAAATAACAAAAAAAGAACAAGTAGTTCAGAGTGAGAGGATGATAGGCGATTACATTATCTGGAACATCACCGTCCTCTGCAACACTTACCCAAGTGACAAGTGGGCTCAGCATGAATTGATCCAGACAAGGTAGAAAAACTCCACTTTCCATCGTTACCAAGGTTGTGAGTGTTACACTTAAAAACGGTAACGCAGCTGTTTCAACCAGAAAAAGACTGGTGGTAGCCTCGTAACTATAGCCTACATCTTCTTTTTAGTGATTCATCCTGCAGAAGTGCACCATTCATGTCGTCCCATCCATCTTTCTTCAACTAGTTGGAAATGTCCTCCTCTCGGTGTTTTCACTCAGGCTCGTCTCGCAGCAGCTAAATCCACACAAAACTGGAGTTCAAGCACAGTCCTATCCGCATTTTGTCCCGCAACAACACCACACTCACCAACATCCTCCTTGGTCCTCTGCTGCAAAGGCATCTGCCGTCGGTCCCCCCTCCCTTACCCCTCCTCCTCCTCCTCCTCCTCCTCCTCACAGCCTCCCTGCTCGTCACACAGACGGGTATATGTGTGACTTCAAAATTGCTGAACTGTCCAAACTAACCTGGTTTCTCCAAATGCAGCCTTCCACTTTATTTCAAACATATAGCCTAAACAAAAAGAAAATAAAACAAAACGTCCCTCCACTTTGAGTCAGCCTTTGAATCATTGTAGCAGCAGAAGGAAGCACTAATAGAGCTATCTGAAATATCTTTGCCTTTAATCTGTTACCATGACAACGCCGCCCCCTCCCCTCCCCAACAGCAACCTTTTTCACACGGCAACAAAAGCAGCACTGATGCTAAAACACCCTGCCACGTTAGCCACTTAGCTGGAGATTATATATTTAGTTGTTTGATTAATAATAGCGAGCTATAACAAAAACGGGATACTTAACTGGGAATGGAAACTTTTAGTGAAGTTCTTGTGTGTAGGCTATATTTTTTTCATTTCATTAATTGGAAATTAGGCTATTTAAATTCACTTCACTTGGCCTAGGCCATGTTTCTCTGGATAACTCAAAAAAGGATGTCATGTAACTGCCCGGTTAAAATTAAGTAGTAAATTCCCTAAGTAGGCTACAATTAGGCTATATGACGTTTTTACATCATAAGGTGGGGTCCAGAGAGCCTGTTTAGCATTCAAAGTGAAATAAAAATAGAATAGAAATTAAAAAAAGCTTTATTTTTGCTGTGAATGTAGGCTAGTGTAGCCCTCGAACTCATTAAACCAAAGTTTAGCTGTCAAAGTGTCAGCCTGTGATGGTACTATGGCGCCACCTTGTGTTAAAGTCTGGAGACAAAGCTGTAAATCTTCCACAGGTCACATTAAAGATGCTGTTAAACTTGGTCATCCTATACTTTGACTTAACTCTGTGCCTATGATGTAGCCTACACATTTTAGAGCAATCAAATTATTAAATTAAACATTATAGGCCTACACTTAAAATCTGATTCAAAGTAGCCAATGCCGGTTTTGGCTTCATTTATTATCCTTTTCAGGCTCTTGTTTGTGGTACTTCTGAAGTGTTTTGCATTAAAGCACTTTGATATTTGCTTCAAATGTATAAAGTGTGTAATAAATAAAATGTATTATTATTATTATTATTATTATTACGCCTATATAGCGAAGTGCTTTGTTAGCCCATTTTATTTGCCCAAAACTCCCACCCTCACAACATTGATTTGGCTCAGTTGGTAGAGTTGTCGTCTCTCAACTGGAAAGCCGAGGGTTCAATCCCCAGCTCCTGCAGCAACATGTCCGATGTGTCCTTGGGCAAGACACTTAATCCTGAATTGCTCCCGTTGCTTTGTCAGCGGTGTATGAATGGTATTAGTTACTTCTGATGGTCTTACATAGCAACCTCTGCCATGCGTGTGTGAATGTGTAGGTGTGAGATGCAGTGTGAAAGTGCTTTGAGTAGTCAGAAGAGTAGAAAAGCATTAGATAAGCTCAAGTCCATTTACACCCAAAAACACATTTTTTAAAGCAGCATATAATTTACTACAAAAAGATTCAAAATCTATATTGCTGGAAGCCCAATTTAAAAAAAAACAAAAAAAACGTTTTGGTCTTAACATTAAAAGTGCAAAGTAGTAGTGCAAATTTTTTAAATGTTGGCAATTAGTTGCTGATAAATGTGAGTCTAATTTTGCATGTCAACCTGTGTTTAAAAAGTTGTAAGCAAAAACAGTTTCAATTTTTGATGCACTCAATCCTCTCGTATTCACCTGTCTTATGTAATTGTTGTGCAAAGTCATTTTCAAGTCCCCGTTTTGACAAAGCAATGGCCACCCCTCTGAGCTTGATGGCTATGCCAGCCTACATACCACTGTTTTTGTCAACCATAAAACCATGAGGCCTTTTTTGAAAATCCTTAGAATAGGAAGAGAACAATGGTCAGGCAGTGCTACATTAGTAAATGGTAATTAAATTCTGTAAAGCAGTAAACGGGACAAAGACAGAGATATGAGACCATTATCTGTAGAGAAGCCCCTGACCTTGTTATGCTGTAGTGTGTGAGTGTTAATGTGAGGCACTTCATGCAACCCAGTGAAATGATGCTCTAATAAACACAACAACAGTTAGGAAAAGGGCGCATTTATGAAGGCAGATGAAAACTCAAGATACAGTAATTAATGACATCCTTACAGTTGTTGTCATATCTGTGAAACTAGTGCATGAACATGTTTGAGTGTGTGTCAGTAAAGAAATAAAAGCATTACATCGAAAGGCAGTTAAGGTTTCTACATGCTACAGTGTGCATGCAGAGAGCATCAAAAAGTTTATAGAGTTAAGAAATATATCTCAACTGTTTACCAAAAAAGTGCATCATCGGAGAATCTTCCATAAACAGGTTCAGGTGAGTTTGATGGAATGCATTTATGGATTCATTCTGTATAAGTTTGGTATAGTGCATATTGATTTTATAATCAGCATATTGCTTGTCTTAGTATATAGTTCCAGTATGAATATTGCTTTCAATATCCATGCAGAATAGCATGCTCATATGACAGTTGATAATTAATTAGTGATTTACAAACAGTCACTGTAGCTTGCAACATGAATGAGTCAAGTTATTAAGTTATTTTTGATTGTTATTAAATCTAGAAATGACATCACAAAAATAAATTCAAGTCTAACAGTCTAAGTCACATTCTCATATTGTGCATATGTGTTGTAAAATCAAGCGTATTCAGCAAACAAGACTTTAGGATATATAAAGACATTCTGTGCTTATAAAGGTAAAGGGTCGTTCCACTTGTTTTCCTCTTTAGGCTCCATGTGAATTCTCTTTTGTAGCAGGTGTCTGTATTTTCCCTGTTGATCTCTGTTAACTTGCAGATCCTTGGCGTAACGTGACCTCCAGTCTCGTTCAAAAGCAGCCTTGACGTACTCCAAGATTGTCACTCCCCTGTCCGTGGGGCTATTTGTCATCTTGACCACCAGCCCAACTCCTGCACTCATGGCAAAGTCGCTCCCAACCCAGTCATGGTTACCTGAGGACAAACAGAAACACTCCAATATTGAGTATTGAAGAAGTCTTATCTCATGACAATGAACTCGGATTTCTGGTTCTTCAGATTTTGTCTTTGTTAGCATACCAAAAATCATAGAGTTTGGTGTGTTTGTGTCGTATCTGTGTCTGAAAGAGTAAATATTTGTCTATATATATAATATATAGTTTAAAAACTCTGACAAGTATCATGTACTGTACTTTAAATATAAAAATACACCAAGGAAACTGTTATCTTAGCATAGCTGAAGCTCTGTTAAGACATCATGTGTTTTTGATATAATTATAACCCTCTTCTCTTGGTTATCAACCTTCTCCAGTCCTTCTGGCTGTGGGTTATAAGCAAGCTACAAAATCTCTTTCAACAAGGTCGACACCAACACAGCAAGACTCACTCAAAGATCACAACAGTTTTAAGGTGGTAGCCTAACGGTTAGTGCACACGCCCCATGTACAGATGCTGTAGTCCTTGAGAGCATGTAAACACACTTAAAATGTAGTGAAAGTCAAATAGTGATTATATGTAATTGTAGGGAAACTTAATTATGTAAACCTGAAATAATACAGCTGAAGTAATCCTGCTGAAAAGTACTTAATCCAACACAGTCTACTACTCCACAGTGTACTGTACATTAAATAATCACAATAAACAAGTGTAATAAACTCAAATAATAAAAATAATAATAAAGTAATTTAGGCTATAAAATCATTTAAAAAATGACGGCATATAAACAAAAAGTTGCTGTTTTCGAAAGAGTAATTTCTTGGACTTTTTGCCTACCAGGTACAGTAAGCTTGCTTCTGAGTGGTCAATTTATCTGACCTAGCTAAGCAAAGCTAGACTAAGCTGAGCTAACGGTTTCATAGCTTCATTACTGATGGAAAGATGTAAAAATGGTATCAAACTACAAACTAAAAAATCTAGGACATATGGTTTACATAAAGGCCTGACCTTCAAAAATACCTTGTAAAAATATGTATATGTAAAAAAGCCAAAGAGAGTCCATTTGAAGTACGTTGTATTGGTTGCAGATAGATTAAACATTGCCTACCGATGTAGAGGCCGTTGTCGGTCACCATGTACTTGTTGTGGTTGAGCCCATGTTCAACATCTTCCTTTTGCTCCTTGTGACTGAAAAACCTCTGCAAAGACATGAATAATGAAGATCAGTTTCAAATAAATATTTCCATAATCAATCAAGAAGAATGCCCCGTAGTTCACTGCAAATACAAAAACTTGAAGAAATCATTTGAACTCACGCACCACCTCGAATGAACAGTTGTGTAGCTGCATGCAGAGCGACTTGAGGGAGGTGACGAAGTTAAAGGTGAGGGGATGAGTCTTCTTCCAGAAGCTAATCAGCAGGTGAACTTTGATTCCTCTGAGCACCACGGCTTCTCTGATCATCTCATCAATATGGGACCAGTACCTGTTGATGCAGCAGATGCAATTAGACACTGCTCAACAATCCCAAAGCAACGATAGTTTCCCTAGATTCTTGTTTCTTTGTCTTGTTTTACCCGAGGTACTATGATTGAATGTCAGAGCCTTTATAATAAAAGTTTGGGTGTACCTTGTGCTGGTGGTTCCTCTGAAACTCCTGCTCACCAGAGGGAGGTAGTCTGTCACGGATATGAAGATAAATGTCTTTGCACTCTGGATGACTTGATAGATGGCATCTACATCTCTGGTGCGATCTTTAGAGCAGAAGAGTTCAGGAGAGGTCTGCAGAAAAGAAACAAAAAAGAAGTAATACAAAATGTGTATGAATAAAATGGAAAAAAAGGGTTGACTTACACTCATCTATTTTTAACTATGCATTCAGTTCAAACCACATTATTTATTCTAATTAGAGTTCAATAAAAATAGTTGACAGCAGTTTATTTCAATTTACTATTTTACACCAACAAGGATCTTCTTCTTTTGGTTTGTTATTTTTCCAAATGTCTAACATAACAGATCGGGTGTAGGAGATAAAAAAAGATGAACAACAAGGCGCATTTCTTCATCAATATTTCACTGCTAGAAGGTGTAAGGAACAAGAGTAGGCTGGAGTTGCCAGCAGCTTGTGACAGCATGGCTCCATTAGCTCCTATAGGATGATAAATGTGCAAAATGCAACTGATAAGCGTCCTGTCGCTAGGAGGGTAACAAGATTCATTACTGTCAAATTAGGCTGACGTACTGAGATTTTCAGACCCAGGATGCTCCTCAGCATGATATTAACGTGATTAATCACACCCTGCGTGGGGATGTTATTAGCTCGTAATGAAACTTTTGTAACGATATTCACCATCCAGTCCAGAATCAGGAAATTGTGGCCTTAGGAGGAATGTAAACCAGACTCAGAATTTAATACTGACACAATCTGTGGTCTGTAGCATACATTGTCTTATAAAGTAAATCTATGTGTTTAATGGGGTATTGATACTGCAACATAACAAAGTGCTTCCTCACAGATACATAAGCAGAGGCCTCTGTAGAGTTGAGTTGCAGCTCCAGAGCATCGTGCCGCCCGTAGAGGGCTGTAACTCTCTTCGACCAGATGGAGGGGATGTAGTCCTTGTCGTGGAGCTGCCAGTAAAATAAAAAGACTCGGTGGAGGTCCAGAGCCAGACAGCTGCAGTTATACAACACCAGCCCCAATTCTTTCCTCTGCGGGGTGTCAGAAAGAAATACACAGGAAGAGGTGAATCAGCAGAAAAGTTGCATGCTGAGAGTAGTTTACACTCTATAGAGATGGTTTTTAAGCAATGTGAGAGAGGAAGTAGAGTGAGATAAAAAGTCAAACTGATGCTTATTTAAAGGAAGAATAGGGAAACTGAATGAGGATTTGATAATATAATGGTAGTTGTATATTGAAATATGTTAATTCAATCTTTCTTCCAAAGGGAGAAAAAAGTCTCTGCCAGTGGCTGTGTGAGGCTCAGCACTGCTCTGAGCTACAGGCTAACATCAGCATGCTAACTTGTACACAATGACAATGCTAATGATTTGGCAGGTTATGGTTGCTAGCACTAACCACATGTGCTGATGAGTGTGTCTCAGGCTTTGCAGGTGTGCAGCTTTGAACAAAACAAAAAACTGAAACTGATACACTGAAAGAATGAAAGGATCATAGTGCTAAATGAAAAATTAAGAGATCATCAGGGACTTTGGACAGTTAAGCATTTTAGAAATCACTCATATAGCCGTGCTTACTCTGTCTGTGTGACGAGCAGGGAGGCTGTGAGGAGGAGGAGGTATTTGATGCGTACCCACTTTCATGGCAAACGGGTTCGGTAATTGTTTAGGCATTTCAATCAAAACCACGAATATGAGTGTAATAGAAAAGCCAGGGTATCACAAAAGTGACTCAAAACTTCCTCTGTGAACATATAGGACATATGTAACTAATTTAATCACAATCCTTCCAGTCATTACTGTGAAGTATTTCGGGCCACAGTAAGGGGAATATTGAAGATACAAAAATCATCTTGGGCTCAAATTGAACAGGGATCAGAAATTAGAAATATTAGTAAAAAAAAAAAAAAAAAAGGGAGCAAAATGAATTAGAGGGCTGGCCCTGGCAGAGAAAAGCAAACAAGAGCAAGCCGTTCTTAATGTATTCTAGCCCGGTCATTAACTGTTTTTTCAAATTTGTTTCATGTTTATTCTATTTCAGTGACTGACCCAGAAGGAAGCATAAAGAGGTCTTGGTTTTGTCTGCTAACATGTATCGTTAATTTAAGTCAGTTCTGCCCAACTGTCTTTTGTCTCTCTTCTTTCCAGCTCTTCCATCATTAGCTTTTCTCAGTACTTGTGAGCATGTGTGCAAGTGTGTGTGTGTGTGTGTGTGTGTGTGTGTGTGTGTGTGTGTGTGTGTGTGTGTGTGTGTGTGTGTGTGTGTGTGTGTGTGTGTGTATGAACACACATGTGTCTGTTTCCTTCCTCTGGCTCTTTAGATAATTGTACTGAACAGTCTTACTTCCAGCCAGCGCTGAGGCATGAAAAGTGCCAGGTAATCACTTCAAGTCGTATGCTAATGCTGTGTGGTTCTTCCACTATTGTGGATTACGTATCAAATGCAAGTGAATGCTACTTGTCTCTCTGGCCCGCCTCAGACAGCAAATCTTAAATCTTCCTGATGCCCATTAGGAGTTGCTGGAGTAAGTGCATTAAAAGGTACAGGTGTAGAGTGAAACTAATCTGAACTGTATATGTTTGAAGTCCCCGCAGGGTGCCAAGGTTATCATTTAATTAAAACTGAGTGAGTCTAGTCTTCTTTACTGAGAGACCAAAGGCTTCTGTTGCCATTTTCAATCCAGAAATGAACTGCAGACCTGACCACGCCTGACTGCAGAGGCTCATTTATCCTCCTCTCTGATATCACTCTGCAAACTCCTGTTGTTGATGTTTGTTGTTACCTTGGAGAGTGACCTCCAGTCCATGTCAGCGCTCCCGATGTAAATGTGCTTCCGATCCACGATCCAGAATGAGGAATGTAGTTCTCCTCTTGTAAGAGCTGTCATATTAATGAAACGAACCTCTGCATCTAGATAATGAGAGACAAATATGTAAAGTTTAAAAGAATTAGAAAGAGGGAAATCTGGAAATGTGCCTGTTGGCCTTGAGCTGCCTGACGTGCATGTGGGCACAGCAGGCCGCCAGCCTGAGAGAAGTCAGGTTCATTTTCACATTCATGATTTTCTTGACCTTCATTTTGAAATTTGACAGCTATGAACAATGGCTAACCTGTTCTGCAGAGCTGCTGGACTGGGCTGCATGCTCTAAGTGCAGCCTAGAACTGTTTTTCTTCAAACAAATCACATGATCTTTATGCTTCTACTCAATTATGTGCAGCGGACATAAAAGAGGCAGCTGTAAAAAGTGCTTAAATTTCAAAATATTACAGGAGTTATATATTTAAAAAGGGGTTTATGCACGGACCATGGTGCATTTTTCAAGTGAGTTGTTAGGTACTTAGACATGCAGGAAGGAATCTGCAGACGTAACAATAACAATTAATGATTGAATTATTTATAACTTTCAATATAGCAGCCTGGTTTGGGTCTCTGTCCAACATTCATCTCAATCCACATAACAAAAACACAACAATGAGCAGTAAAATAATTGGACTGTAGAAGGCTGATTACTGATCAACATCAGAACGACAAAACGAAAGGGACAACATATAATGTCGGACACTGCACTTTTCCGACACTGCACATTAAAAGTGGGGGGCTTTGTTAATCCAAATGTACTTAATTCTGCATGAATTATTTATACATTTCCCTATGGCTTCTGTGAGAAACAATCAATGTGTGTTGATTTTGGCACTCTCTGTGGACAATGCGATCTTGTCCTGTACATGCTTAAGTAACGGTATTTAAGTTGGAAAAAAAAAATCATCTCGCTTTCTTGGATGTCAAATGTATGACTCATCTCAAATCTTTACAGTGAAAAATATAAATAAAGTGTGTTTCTGCAGCATGCAGTTTATCACCACGTCTAAAACCCACCCTGCAGCAGCGGTTTCAGACATAAAAAATTATAATGTTGATGGTCTTGGTTGCTTACGTATCATATAGAGGCATCGATATTAATCTCGCTCTTTTTCATAATTGAACCAAAAACTGTAACAGGAGCTTTAAATCTTTTTTGAGCATTAAATCTGTTTAGTGTTCAAAATGTTTAATATGAAACACATACGCTCTCATATTCATTCTATCAATTACAAATATATTTTTTGTGTCAAGAAAGTGAGTCGAATAGTTTTCAAGTGACACAAGAAAAAACATTTATTCATTTTCTATTTTGGCAGCTTCTGACCTCTATACCATAAATTCTTCTTTTTGTTTTCTTTTTTTTTTCTGGTTGGCTACGCGGCATTACAAATTGCTTTTGTAAAATGAAAATATGACAGCCACTCACTGTGTGCTGCCAAGGTCTTCAGTTCAGCAGAGTTAGTCAGACTGCTGGCAATCTTCAATTTAACCCCACGAGATTTCAGGCTGAGCAGTCTCTGGAACAAAAGCTGACCCTGAGGAGGAAAGGGATGTTCTGTATTAGTTGAGCACAGATGTCTCTTTAAAGGCTAATACTTATCCATCTCTGCAGGAATAACCTCATTAAAAGACTACACACAGATTTACGTGAAAATAATTGCATTTCCTCTTACAAAGCCCCCTGGGAAATGCAGTTGGTTCAGGCTCTGCAGAAATACAGGAGATTAAGACTCCTGCCCTCTGCCCTGACTTTGTACCTGTTTGGCAGTGCTTGGAGTTGTTTCCAGATCCCAGGGGTTTAAGGACCAGGCAGGTGACACAACCTCAACCGAATGCTTTGCTTGGTCCAACAGAATGTGAAAGCCAGCAGAGAGGGGGAGGTGGGGTCTGCCATCCTTTGGGAGGAAGAGGTCATCTGGAATATTCTCCACAAGCTCGATGCTGAAAATAACACATACTTATTTAGTTTTTGGAGCCTCTGGTTGAATGAAAAAAAAAAAAAAAAGAATCATGTTATGTCACTTATGAATGTGTGTGCGCGTGCGTGTATATAGATGACTGGTTGATCTGTATTTAACTTTTGTCATCATCTTCCCAGGGACAACAGCTCGTTAGCTAAATCCATTAGGCCTACTGTTCAAAGCATCTCTCAGTCCTCTTAGACTAAAGTTATTTTGTACATTGTTCCTGATTCAAATAAACTAATAAACTGAACTGAACTGAACTTGTAGTCCATGTCAGTTAAGGGTAAAAAGTTTGAAAATGGGAAAACTTTAACTTGGGGTGTGGAGTCAAGAAGTTAGCTTACAGACCCAACAGACCTCATCTGAATCTAAGCCAAGTAGCTCCATGCTACAGTAGAAAAAAACTAGCATAACACAACCACATTTTACACATGACACTTGATAGTGTCATGTGTAAACTTGATAAGTTGCATGGCGGTAAATGTTGGCATCAGGTTTCGACTGGGACTAAGAGAGTGTAGATTTAATAAAAACTACGTATTAAACATGTCAACTTACATCTGGCATAGGCTACATAAAGTAGCACAATGCTAAGTTGAGGGAGTTCTCTTTCAAGAGTGTGTACAAATATGGTTTGAAAGTTTTAGAAAACCCAACTTAAAATGAGGTACCCAAAATCCTGCGTAGTAACCTAGGACAGTTTATTTTGTTTTTAAAAGTGGGGGTCCTGACCCCCTGAGAGGTCGCGAGGTGTCAATAGTGGGGGTCGCAGAAACTTGGATGGATGAGGGGGAAAGTCAGACAAAAATAAATATCAACTAATAACATTATTTGGGGCCATAATATTTTATAAGATGTCTTTGCATATAGAAATATATGTGTCATATTTTTATGCCAATCTTTCAATTTAAAACATAATTATTTCAAACATTTTTCAGGCTATATAGAGCCTTACAGTTTATTCAAGAGATGTTCATTAACTAAAATAGTTGTCATAAATATGTCTGATTCTATGATTAGACTGATCGATTTGACAGTCCCTCTATGCCCATTATCATTGGGATGGTAGGTTTAGATCAACCAATCAAAGCTTTTGAAAGATTGTGTCGTGCTTAGCAATGGGGTCAATCCCGCCTCCAAACTCAAAGTCTTTACCACTTCAATGTTGCTTTGAGAGTGTTCCTAAATCACTAAAAGCTTGGACTCCTTGCTAGAATCTTAAATATAAGTTAGGAGCTCAATGAGAGTATTCTCAGAATGATTGTGAATATGGGCACTGATCATTTATTATTTTAACAGATTAAGTTTATATACTCTGAACTGAGAATTATATCATGAAAAAAGGGTCTCTGGGTATGCTTAAATCGGGAATCTCCATAGATATCTTACAAGGATCCAAACCTTTTCATTTTCCCCCTTGTTATGCTAGCACATCAGACACAAAGCATCTTACCTGCAGTCACTGCAACAGTTCTCCTCTGTGATCCCATCCTCAACGTCTCCCCAAATTTCCACCGATGAGAAGATCAGTGCCACCAGCACGGAGAAACAGCAGAGAAGGGCAAAGATGGCGATGCACTTCTGCTGGGTCTGGAAAATGAGTTACACACACACACACGTATACACACATTAAGGAAAAGGTTGACATAATTATGAAAGGGAAATCTGCAGCACTGTGGGGCTCAACTCCTCCCTTATAGCTGTCGCAAAGCAGGTTGACTATTTGGAGAGAACACATTGACATATTAACATAGCAGATACTGCTTGGTGGTGTACAAAAGGGAAATTATCCGCTTTTAAATGCTAATGTCCTCAATCAATGTATTGATAAGAGGATATGGATTCATGATCAATACAACAACAACCAAATGTCTTCTTTTGACTGGAGAAACCATTTGATTTGACAACCAGGCTGATGAGGGATTCAGACTGTTGAGCTGGAACTCCCCAGATTCATAAATGTTTGGGTGCAAGTGAAGCGTAACACTCTCCAGCTGAAGGAAAATGAATACAGGCTGAAACCCGACCACAAAGATCACTTTAAAGCTCTGTTTTATACTTACTTTCTGCATTGTTGTCAGAGCTATTCCCAGCTGAAGGAGATTTTATGACCTCTGTGCGAGAATGGATGCATCTAATGTCGCATCTATAACAAGCAATATTAAATTCTATACTAGTGTGCATGTATGTGGTGCAGTATATACGGGTTGTAATAAGGCTTGAGTGACAGTCAGAGTGGTCAGGGGTGTTGATGCAGCAGCCTTATTGCCCTGATCTGGCCCGGGGAGTTCTTATTTTTCACTGTTTTAAAACTGCAGTTTGGCACTTCTGTTTTGCTTACAACTACACATTTTCAACATCTCATTCCCTGCACTGTTTGGCTTTGTCGGTTCTCAAGCCGTCATCATGTCTCATTAAATATTCTCTTTTGTTGTGCTCAATCAATCACACCCTGATGATAAGTTCAGCATCGTTAGCGTCAACTTTTCTCAGAAAGATATCTCGCAGCAACAACTTTTAGAGAATGTGAGCATAAAAACCAAAGAAAGACAATATTCATCAGCAAGTCAGAGATAAGGTGTGGGCCTGAGAATCTGTGTCAACCTGATCTCCCACTCCTCTCTTCACTGTCCGTCTCAGCCGATGAGGCTGAAAGACAGGGTGCCAGCCCGATACACCTAACACACCCCATGTGTTCCACCAAGACCTCTGAGCTCTTCATCACATTCAGCAAAAGGACCACGCTTCACTTGTGGATGTGTACATGTCATCTGAAAAAATCCTCATGATACAGAACAAGGCTGACAGAGAGAGAGACTGACAGCTATATGATTTCCTTCACTGAAAAAACACAACAACACTGTACACCGTAGGTTTCAGCAGCTGTTTTCAATGCAGTCAAAATCAACGTTGCAGAGGGTTCAGAGCAGACACCATTAATCCTTTTATTTCACTACATGACTACAACAATATCATTAGGTGAATCAGGATTCCAAAATATGTGAAATAATAATTGTCAATGTTTTATAATATAGTAAATGGAAGATTTTGATTTCTAAACTTATTTGGCCAAAAATGAGGCAACGCCTACGAGCTAGTTCAGGCGGTCAACTCGCGCTGAACTGATTTCACACATGACATGCATCATTCTCATTAATCATATGACAACTTCCAATTAGCTGTCTATATACGCTGCAAGATTTCTGGTCTCACCCTCGGCTTTCTCATTGCCAGCTCTGACCTGCACCAGTGCTGCACTCTCGCTCAGCCCAACTACCACCCGAGCATCCCCCTGTAGGCTCCACCTGGGGGTGGTTTAAGATATCATCCCATTACTCCACAAATTTCTGCATCTAAATTAAAACTGGGAGGAGTGAAGAGGTCGGAGCCTAGACTCCAAATACGAACTACAGTAGCCTTCTGTATGTTCTGCTGCAATAAATATTTTAAACATACAAACATGAGTTGTCTGACTGAACTAGCAATTTGTAGACATCCGCAGGGAGCAGGGAAACTAGCGAATAATGATTTCTTTCAAAATTGTATTAACTGTGTCGTAAAACATTAGGGTATAAATTTTGATTCTTAATACAAATATCGATAAAGAGATAGTTTCGGCCCCAAGACCTCTAATCATTCGCTTTACCATATAAAACTGCAAGACTCTGAGCCCCAGCTTTCCTGAGGGAAACATCTAAAATCTAGCTACTAAATGCTCCCAAAGTTTCTTCATCTTCTAAATACAATGAATATAATTTATCAATCAATAGGATAAACATAAGTTGATTTGAGCGACCTAAATGTGAGAATTGTTCATGTTTTCTAATATAAAGGATATCCCTCTGAGTTTTTGGATATTGTCATTTTAATTTTTCCTAAATTTTCTGTCATTTGAGAAAATCAATAATCCCAAACAACGAGCAAGAACTTTGTTTACTAAAGAACTGCTCAGGTCATCTTTGATTCAAAATGTCAAGTAGCTGGTTCAAGCGTCCAACATAAGGAATATTCTTTTTTACATGCTTGATATTGGGGCGGCTTGTACTGTCATAAAAAAACAAATTCTCATATACATGCTGTAATAAATTGACAAAGAATATTCCCTCGCTTTTCTGACATTTTACAGTCTTAAAATGTATTTGATAATTCAAAGACGTTTTTAATGTATGAATTTAATGACTGCCTTGCTTTGTTTATCATACACACATTTGTGTTTCCACTGGATATTTGAAGAATACATCTCACATTTAAGAGATCGTGCAATTTAATGTATTACTGTAATTAAGCGAGGAAAGTCTCAGACAAGCATGCACCAGAATCCCACCCGCAGACTAAATGAGATTAATGGGCCTAAATACTGATTAGAAAAATGCAAAGGGAAGATTTGAGGGAGGTAAACGTCACCTTTAAGGGCTCCTGAGGGGCCGGTCCCGCCATGAGAGCAGCACTCATTCTAACTTCTGTGACAGGTGAAAAACAGCAGCTCAGTCACACTCTTTCTCCGTCTGCCTTTTTGTCTTCATCACTCCACTCCACAGTCTGATGGTTTCACACTCTGCCACTGACTTCATCCTGCTGCTCCCTCACCGTTCTGGAAGGTATGTATGTGCAATTCAGCTCCTGGTCCGTCCCATGTCCCGACATGGTTCCTCCAACCTCTGACTGTGCGTGTGTGTGTGTGTGTGTGTGTGTGTGTGTGTGTGTGTGTGTGTGTGTGCGTGTGTCCGTGTGTGTGTGTGTGTGTGTGTGTGTGTGTGTGTAGCTCACTCTGTGCTCTCTTCTCAGTGGAGGTGGTGAGAGAGATGGAGACGGACCAGCCCTCTCTCATTCAAACGGCCAATACAAAGCTGTAGCTGGGAGCTACAGCAACACCCCTGTCCTCCTCCTCAATCCCTCCCTCCTCTTCCTCTTCTCTCTTTATCTTCCTCTATTATCAGCCTGGTGAACAGAACTCATCTGGCAGAAAGCTGTTGGGTTAGGCTCTAGAAAGGATGGATACTGAACTGTGCCATTGGTGATCCAGTGTGTGTGACAGCTGCAGCGAAACTACCATACTACCACACACTCCAACACACACACATTTATGTGCCTAGTTCTGTCCAGAGAAGACAAAAGAATTTCAAACAGCCCTATAGTTCTCATTTATAATGACCTGACTGTAAGTCAGCAATGCTGTCTGCTTTAATCCCCACTGTGTTAAATTTTTGTAATAAATGTGCTTTTCAGTAATGCGCTGGATTGCGGGGCACTCATTCATGTTGCACTTTCAATTCTAAAGCTCTGCCTCTTGCATTTGTGCAGAAGAACATTAAAGGGCTTCAGTGTAGAAAATATGAAATATGCTTACACTTTCTTCCACTCTCTAATTCGCCTCAACCCATTTCCCTCCCCTAATATAGTGTTGCCTTAAAGTAGAAAACAACATATGCTGCTGACTGCAGGCAAGCTGCTGCTGTTTTGGCGCTGCAAAGGGAGGAAAAGAAGGACCTAATGGGAGATGAGGGAGATATTATAAAGGAAGGATAGAAGAACGTTTTCTGTTTCACATTTCTTACATTATAGGGAACAATAGACTGCACAAACAAACACAACGGGCATATAAATTGTTTCATAAAATAATATTTTTAGTTGTACTCGCTGCATTTCCATTGATTGCTTTGAGTTGGCCAAGAAATTTGGTTTACACCTTATTGTCTTTCTTAAGATTAAGAGATTATAAGACTACATGAATCTCAATCATTAAATCATATTTAAAATTGACCAGTACTTTACTTTGTGAAAAAATGTATAAAATAATGATATTATCATTACCCTCAGCTGAATGGATGAAGTGCTATTTAACAAACGTTAGCATGCATTTTGTACCTGTCAAGCATTTAGACTTTATTGTGCCCATGGGGAAACTTATTTTCACAGCCCTGTTTCTGCCGAACAGACAATTCCCTCCAAAGTACATACACAGTGTATAAAACAAACAATGTCAAACAGCAATTAAAAGTTTACACTCTGGCCTTTTGTTTAAGGCAGCTATAACAGCAGGGATCAGGCATTTCCTAAGGCGAGCCCATCTGCACCTCAGTGCTCCGTACCTCCATCCTGAGGGAAGTGGGGTGAGGTGGGTGTTCTGTGGGTGAGTGATGTCCTGTTCTATTGAGGTTTCAATGCATGTGATCACCCTGTTGTTGAGTTCTGTTATCTTGGGTGTGGGGAGACCAATTATTCTGGTAGCCGTGGTTGTGATGTGATGTGAGTTTGGCTCAGTTTTTAACAGACACCATGTTGAAGAAGCAGGTGGTACAGTACATTAGGATGGGCTGGATCATCCTCTGATATAACAGCAGGAGGAGCTAGGGGGCAACATAAAATATCTTTCAGTTTGTGGATGGCTGACTGTCTTTGATGGCTATTTTTTTCGGAGGACACTGGAGTACTTTTTGAAACTGAGTTGGTTGTCTAGTGTCAACTCTCTCACTCTCTGGCCACAGACAATGGCAACCAAAACCGAAAAATAAAAGCTGTAAATTACAGCAGGAATTTTGGTCAAAACCTTGTATTATACTGAGTTTATTTAAAAAACCAACAATAATAATGCTTATATTATTAATACATTTTCCAACTAAAACTCATTCACTCACTAAAGACTCTGGTCTCAAGCCTGTCATCATCATTTGGACAAACTAACAGTACTGTGTTGACAATCCTTTACTCTGACCAATGCAAAGAATTCAGAGACCACTACAAAATGATGTTTTTATTACATAGTGAATAGTGAGTGATTTTGGACAAAGCCATTGACTGTGTCTGCTAACACACTAACACAGCTCGCTGCTGCTGTGGTGGATGGTTTTTTGTTTTTTTTAGTAAGTAAACCTTCCAATCTCTTTTAGAGAAAAGTCAACTGAATAAATACTGAATGAAGGAATTCAATTATTTACAAAATCTAGAGAAACAGAGGCTAGCTATGCCTGGTTACCATATTCTTAATGCCGTGCTATAATTAGCATGGGAATGTTCAGTGTTTACTTAGATAGTGCTTTTCTAGTCTCCTGACTACTTAAAGGGCGTCATCCATTCACAGACATTCATACACTGATGTCAGTGGATGCCATTTAAAGTGACCTTCAGTATCACTTATTTCCAATCATACACATTCACATGTGCAGGCTATGCCACAGCATTTTAAGGTTTGGTGTTTAGCCGAAGGATATTTCAACATGTTGACTGTGGGAGCTGGGTTCAAAAGTTCTGAATCAAAACCAACTACCTTCTGGTTGAAAGATGACCAACTCTACCACTGAGACACACTAGTGAGTCCTCGGCTTTCAAATAATTTGAATAAAGTGTAAGCCTGTAATCTTACATCAATTCCTTTTTTTTGTATAATCTAGAACAAACAAAGTTATTTTTAATCAATGATGCAAATGATTCTACGCCTGTGTCATCTGTAAGAAAATTATTTTTAAATACTTTTAAAATACTGTTAATAGTACTTGTGGAGCCGTCTGTGATATCCAGAGAGAAATTGGGAGCAGAGAAACAAGGTCATAGCAGGTGAACCTGCTGTGTGTGTCTGTTGTGCCCTCTGCACGTCACCCTGTCGGTGAGCAAGAAGAAGAAACAGAATGAAAGAGACAGAGGGGACAGAAATGTTTGGACCACTTCTCAGGAGAGGGGAATGTTCCTAAAGCATCATACATTAGGTCAACACTAACACATTTTTAAAACAGCGGGGATCAAGGTGACAAACTAAACTGGATTTTTACTGTTTCACTGACCATCATCAGCTGGGACAGAACAGCAGGACAACTTTGAGCTGAGCTGCAACAACCTCCAGCTAACAGTCACTTGCAGTCCTGCTCAGAAACTGTTGACATAAACACTTTACTCACTGCACAGTCACCACCATGATAACAATGAATATAAATGAATGGAATGCATATCAGTCCATTTTCCTTTTCCCTTTGTTAGAAAAAGATGTAGACGCTCTTCTTGATCTGTGCTCTTTTAACAACAAGCAACACAGGTCAGAGGTCACAGCAGCCTTAATGGGTTTATTCCTGCCCCTCCATGACTCCTTGTACAGGACATAATTATCTGGTAATGTAAAGTTTCCAACAAAAGGGCCCAATTCTAAATAGTCCTCATCTGTAAGAGCCACACTGATTCAGACGTTACACAAATGAATAAATCATAACACCATGGGCCGGCACCTTTAAAGATTTTATGCACAGTGTAGACAAAGAAATGAGGTGAAAGAACCTTGGGGACAAATATAACCAACAAATTTTGCCAGTAATTTATTTTTCTCTAGATTTTCCTTCATTTAAAAAAGTTTCAAAAGTTTTTTTTAAAGATTTAAAGATAAAACGATTTTTGAATAACAATAACTGTTTATTTAGATTCCTTTAATATATGTATTATATATATCTATATATATATCTATATCTATATATATGTATATAATAATATTTTTACAAGGTAATATTAGAGTGTATTCACACCAGGAAAGTCATTTAGTTCACTTTCCGGACCAAAATACAATGTTTCTTTTTGGGTTTGGTGCGGTCCATTTTCACAATTTCGCAAGAAGCCCAGAATTTGTAAACAAAACCACATGTGTGCAAAGATCATTCAATCATTGGACAAAAAGGTCTGGGGCAGTGTAAAGCGGTAATCTCTAAGTGGAAGTAAACAATCATGGAGATCTTGCGGGCTGCACTTGATGTGCTGTTATTGATTTGGTTCATACAGTTACAAACTTTTTCAGAACATTTTGAGCAGCAAGAGCGTTTGATACAATGTCGGTTTTATGATGGGATGTTTATCATTTTGAAACGACGAAGACGTGCTGATAACCAAACAATTATTTCCCATAATGCGCATCACAACAGGAGCCTGTTACGTCCATTAAGGCGTATGATTTTTAGAACTGGGTCGGACTGAGCTCTGGTCGCTTCCTCATCTCAAACGTACTGACCAGGGTTTAGTTTGATAGCGAACCGAGACCACCCCTTCGGCTGGGCCTCGATTCGGCTGTTTGGTGTGCACCCGAGTTCGATGGTTTGTATTCACACCTGCCCAAAAGATCCGCACCAAGGTTTTAGTTCGTTTCAAGCGAACTAAACAGGGTAGGTTTGAAGACACACTTAGTCATATTCTTACTATTCTTTTTGGCATTGCTTCAATAAGTTTCTTTTATCTTTTTGTATTTGTGTTACTGTGTCCACTGTCCACTTCTCTCTTTAGCCTTTTTCACACATGCAATTTCTAAAAAAATGTCAGTTACCTGAAATCTTCCTGAATGTCCTGTTCACACATGCCCATAACAGCAAGACTTTCACTGTGAGACAGGAGGGGGGCGCTGACAGAGCCCTTGCTTATAGCTGTCTCATCCACAAGTGTCATAATCCTGGCTGGACTGGTTTTAATCTCCTAGCTGTTGTAACTTTAATGGTACTCTGAGTCGTCAGACTTGGCCATTTTACCACCCAAACAATAACTTCACTTCCTTGTCTCCCTCGCTAACTCCAGTTTATAATAAACTGTTCCACAAAGCGTTCCTACAGGACTGGAGCACTTCTGTTGAAGGCTGGATATGCATTTTCTGTCTAATACAAAAGTTGCTTTTAAACCTGCATATTTCTGAATAT